GGGGGTGCTGGAGGGGGGCGCTCACCTCCAGGGGCCCGTCCAGCAGCACGGGCCGGCTGAACTCCACGTACTCCCCGTCAGCAGCCTCCATTCCCGTGGCCTCCGTGCGTATTCCGGGGCCCACCTGCGCCGGGGGGAACCGTGGAGGGGGGGCTGCCCCTGAGCCCCGCTCCCATGGGAAGCCCCATCCCACAGGGATCCCTCATGCACTGGAATACCCAACCCAGGGCACCCTCGACCCAACGGACCCCCCATTCCGATGGGAAGTGCGGCTCCCTTAGGGATCGCTGGTGCACAAAGGGTGCCCTCCCTGCCAAGGGGCCCCCAATCCCGTGGGAATGCCTCTCCGATTGGGGTTCCCGATGTCTCACGAGGGGCACCCAATAGGACCCCATTCCCATTGGGCTCCCTGGTGCCCGGGAGCACCCCGGGGCCCCCATTCCCATTGGGCTCCCCAGTGCCCGGGAGCACCCAATGTCCCCTATTCCCATTGGGCTGCCCGGTGCCTGGGAGCACCCAACAGGACCCCATTCCCATTGGAGTCCTCGGTGCTCAGGAGCACCCAATGTCCTCCCAACCCCATTGAGCTCCCTGGTGCCCGGGAGCACCCCAAGTCCCCTATTCCCAGTGGGCTCCCCGGTACCCGGGAGCACCCCGGGGCCCCCATTCCCATTGGGCTCCCCGGTGCCTGGGCGCACCCAACAGGACCCCATTCCCATTGGGCTCCCCGGTGCCTGGGAGCACCCAACAGGACCCCATTCCCGTTGGGCTCCCTGGTGCCCAGGAGCACCCAACAGGACCCTGTTCCCATTGGGCTCCCCTGGTGCCTGGGCGCACCCAACAGGACCCCATTCCCACTGGGCTCCCCGGTGCCCGGGAGCCCCCGTCCCCTTGCGGTGCCCGCGGGTCACCTGGCGCAGGCGCAGGCGCCGCAGCCCCGCGAAGCACTTGGGCAGCGCGTGGCGCAGGGCGGGGGGCGCGCGGGGCCCCCCCAGCGCCGCCAGCAGCTCCTCGCTGCCCAGGAAGCAGAGGCGGGGGCAGGCGCGGCGGCGGCGCTGCAGCAGCGCGCCCAGCG